TAATACCAACCAAACCATAAACTTACGTAAAATCTCGAACAAATTCCGAAAATAGCACTGTACCTTCCTGCTTACCTACTTAGGAGTGCTTTTAGTTTTATTTCGTCGAAGCGCCATTCGCATTAAGTAGTGGCTGACATTAATTTAAATTAACATTTATGTTTAGTCGTACAAATATTGTCGTTTTTTACTACTTTAGTTGGCGGAGCGGTGGTAACCCAATGGGAGAAAAGTTGCTTCTTAATGACGAGGCCGAGACGGCCCGAAGTGCTGTAACTACAAGTACTCCACGACTTTCATTTATAAGTTACATTAACTAAATTTTTTATGTATAGTAGGAGGCAAACGAGTCACTTGATCGAAGGTGGTCATCGTCCCCCATGGACTTGAGGCAGCTGGCTTGCCTTTGAGAGACCCGTTGACATGCCTTTTTTTGTAGAACCCCTTGTCATAGCGTAAAAGAAATACTCCCTTCAGGAGGAAGTACATTCCACATCTTGCAGATTCGAGGAAAGAACGAACCGTGATGCCTTTGGCTTAAACCTTTGCTCAGAGGGAAACCGTACCACTAGTGGTTAATTTATAACATCATAACTTAATATGAATATAAGCAAAACAAAAGTTAAGGAAGCTATGACAATAGGACAAATAAATATTGAAAAGAAACCTTATTGCACAATCATAAAGCTGTAACATTAAATATTAGAAACCTAATACTGACGTAGGGATGCCCAAAACTAATTTAATGATTACCTGTATCTTGGGCAGCTTGTTAATGAATACTTTTTTATATTATAGTGCTTAAGAACAAAATACGTAATCATTTAAATAACAATAAAACAACGCATTATAATTATTTTATTCATTGACTTACAATTATATGGACGTCGGGTCCGCGCTAAAAAGTGTCCGAACTTATAGGGCGTTAAAATCGTATACAGAGCGTCATTCACGCTTTAGTCTTCGTTTGTTCGACTGACAGCGAAGCAAGCAAAACTAGACAGTAGGTACTGCGATGACATTACAATTTAAATTCAACGTTTTAGCTTTTTCATATTCCTTTACACGTCACGACGTTTAAAAAGGTTGATTTGGGACATTTTTTCGTGATTTTTTGTATTAGACCCGTCGTCCAATTATTTGTAAGTCAATGATTTTATTGTAATTTTGTGACAAATTTTTGTAGACCTCTGTTTCGGCGTATCTAGGTCTTATTTTCAAGTCTATATTTGAAAGTCTTTTTACATATAATCTTATCTTAAAGCATGATAATACAATGTGGAATTTAGTTTAAAATAAAGTAACGAGCCGACGAAGCAGAAGAATCTATGAGAGTGAGCAGTGCGAAGTTGTTCACGAGACGAAGAAAAGTCTAAGTTTACTTCCATTTTTATTAACGAAGAAAAGTCGTCTGTGGTGAGTTCGGGACATGGAATCAAATGTAGTTATTGACCGCTTTTTCAGAATTAATTGTGAATAAACAGTTACTGGATAGAAAGGTCATCGCACTTGGCTAGGAGTTCGATGATTGGGCAACGGTAAGGACGGAAGTTGCTGACTTTTAACTCTGTGCGAACTTTCTAGGTTTATATAATAATATAATAACGCTCACACTCAACATAGCCCCGCACTAGGGAAACCCTGTGTCGCGGGTGCTATGGACACATACATAGACAACCATAAATTACACTCAAAATCACGAGAGAAATAAATATAGGCCATACAAATATTTCTCCCGGCCCGGGTATCCAACCTGGGACCTCTGCGTGGCAATCAATGGTAACCGTTCGGCCACGGAGGCAGTTAAAGAAGTGATATAGAAGAAACAGTGAATATGAAGTACCGAATTGAATCAAGTAGCAACAATTGATAGTGGGCTACATATTTGTACTAAAGAAAAGCATTTAACATGCGGTGGAGCCGATCTTGGGCAACTACGACAATAGTGAGCTACTTTTGTACCACCTGATACAAAAAGTATATATGTATATCACCTGATATTCGAGCAGGTTGAGAGGAGAAGTTGTATGAGAATTCAATACGTCATGTATTTGGTTTAGTCGGTATTTAGTGGCAGTGCCCGCGCTCTGAGCGACTCCGTCGCTGGAATAACACCAAATTGGGCTTGTGTATGAGGAACATGAGGCACTGAAAAATAGGAGCATATCATCGATAAAGGACATTGTGGTCTTACGGCTAGAGAGTGGAACAGCGCATAACTGGTTAATATAGATTTATTTTTGTGGATAAGGATTTTTATGGAGAAGGAAGGAAGGAGGATCTCAGTCTCGGTCTCATAATACTTATTACGCGATAGGCAGTGCCGCTGTTGTCAGTGGGCAGACTATTGCAGGTTGGTATGTTTTAAGGTTTTCTGTAAAAATAAGTTTATACTACGCCAAAAGAAAAAATATCTTCAACATTGTGCGTGACGCTCGGGAAGTAACGTGATTCATCAATGGATTATCTATATACATATTAGTTCCATAATTATTGACCTAGATCGCCAACATGAGAATTAATTTGCTACGTACGCATATTATACGTCTCAGTAAAGACATATCTTTTTATTTGTCTTTCGTGGGGCCATTTGTCGCGACGAGCAGGTAATTTTTATTAATTCAGTATGCAAACATAATATTTTACACAATGTTAACTCTTGCGACATGTAAGTGCTCATGCAATATGCATGCGTGTGTGGTGTGCTTAAGCCGTATGAGCGGAACGAGTGAAATGAGCTTGAATATTTTCGAGTGGCGCCTTTGGCGCTAAGTGGGTTAAACAAAGTTTGTAATTTCGTTAACATCAAACCATGTTAAAGCGCTGTCACGCTTATAGACACAGTTTTTGAAATATATTTGGCTATTTAAATTCTATATTACACTGCAATGCAAATGTAAACAAAATAAAGCCGATGTTCGAAACATAAACATTTATAGGTATGGTGTTCGACGAGTTGACTTCATGGTTGGTCATAAAATCAAAACCAGGTAAAATCAATCCTGTTTGTATTTCAAAACCACGTACCCGTAAGTATTTTAATAATAACGTAACTGTAAAATGGAACTATCTTCGAACGAATTTTTTTTTGGTAGGGTATAGGTATTTGAAAAAACAAATATACCTACGCGATTTAAATCCGGAAAAATAGTTTCATTTCCTAAGGTATAGGAAATAGGAAAAAGATATCTCTAACATTTCTAATTTTGTTACAAAACCGAAAACTCGACCGTCAATATTAGAAAATGGTTTCACTTTTACTTACTCCGTGGTTAAAAGACAATTACTTGATGGAATTTACTTTCTATCTTCATTGCAAGGATGTTAATTTTTTTTCTTATCCTGTACTTTAAATCTGTCAATTATAATTTCATAAACCATTTATGACAATAAAGGCGCACTTTTTAGTTCTGAATCGAAATTCTATTGTCTATGGTACTCGCCACTGAGCTGAAAAGTTTCATTAAAGTTCTGTACACAGAACTACAACGAGTATTATAGTACTGTACACAGGCCTTTCATGACTTTCAAAAAAGAACTTTGTGCTTTTGCTAATTAAAATATCAATTAGGACGCTACTCTAACGCTATACTGCCTTCTGGTTGGTTGATAGGCCACTCGGCCAAGCCTTGTGGTCTAAACGCAGTACTCGGCTCTAGGGACCCTCATTATGCAACGATTACATATCGTCATCATCATCAACAGCCTATCGTAGTCCACTGCTGGACACAGGCCTCTCCCAATGCGCACCATTTCGCCGGGTCCTCAGCTCGTTGCGTCATCAAGCCTCAGAGTTAGTGGGTTGAACGTTGCCAGAGTCAGTTGTTTGAGGTAGTCCGGTGATATAATACCAAGTAGATATTTGCTTTAGGTACACGTCACTTAATTATTAACTTTTACTTAAGAGTAAGGGGTAAATTGATAAGTGCTTAAAGTTATTTCACTGAGTCGGATAATTTAGAAATTAATTTGGCGTTTGGGTATACCTTGTATACATAGTAAACATTGGGATAACAAACAATTGGAACCGTATAAGATGTGCCATTACCCAATGAATTGATCACAAGTCCGTCGGGCGGCGGCGGCGGCGTCGGCGGCGGCGGGCGGCGCCTCGCGGTAGGCGTAACTGCACGGAATTATTAACAATTTGCCAATGGTGTCAGGACTTCTGCTCTATAGGTACCTTTGTTAATTAAGCGATTTAAAATTCGACTGTTTTTTTATGTACCTGTGTTATCCGATTTATATATGTATAAATTTGTGAACCGATTTTGATGATTCTGTTTTTGTTGGAAAGATTTAAATTTGAAGAAAATGTTCCACCTCTAACAGTGGTTGCACACGGCGAGTTTTATGAAGCGCGAGGTTGCGTCGCTACACTTGCGATTTACAGGCGAAGGCATCGATGCAGATGCGCTTGCACCGTGTTTGCATCGCTGCGAAAAGTCGCGTAACTGCTCTAAGGGTGGGCAACTAGGGGATGAATGATTTTTCAGCTTGGTTTCTTGAATAGGTACTCAGTACAGAGATTATAATTATTTTTTTTTCACAATTGAATACCTATAGGTAGAGCATACATGAAACACGTTTTTGTGACCGATGTGTCAGGTATGAAGAGCCGTGAAGGAGTACTATCTAACTAGCGACATTATATATTCACCATTTTTATCTCGTTTCAGACGTTTTAATCCGTACGAATTTCACTAAAACTCAATTTTCAGATGAGCCCGTGCCCAGGAGTACTAGGTAACTCGAGTTGATAAATGTGTTTCAAATAAAATATTTCTTATGGTCTATTTGAATTGGTAAAAATCTTTTTTTCATGTTTTCGGATAATGAATTCAAGGAGTGTCAGCAATATTTCGGGTTCAGGGATAGGTAACATTTACCTATACAAAAAAATATGCATAATTAAAACACATATAATAATTAGGAATGTATTTATAATAAGAGTATCAAGATTTAAATGAAACGATTGCACAAGTGTCGAATCAACTCACCGGCACTTTCGACGGCTCCAGGCGAAACCGGTACAGGCTCGCACTCCCGGTCCTCTCTCCTCTCGTAATTACTTCTCCTTCCTCCGTTAAGGCCTAAGATTGCATCTATCGTATGGCGGGGCCCTTGACTCACCCCCGCCGGCACTTGTGTCAGTCCTAGACGACTTTTGACGGCGTCAAAACTCTGATTCAACTGCATCTGCTGAGCATGGAAGAACATCCCCATTCGGTTTAAAGTCTCTAAATTTTGTTGGTGCTGGGACAGCGATATGTTTTGATCAGTGACGTTTATTGAGGAACTCGAGTTGAGGCTGCTCATTTGAGAACGCGGGCTGTTAGTCTCGGAACGCGGGGGCGTTTGCGCGAAGTAGCGCTCCTCTGACGCGTCCATCCTTGACGAGCGCGCGCGCGACACTGGCTGAAGCCTGCTGCGGCGAGGGCTGAAAAGGGAGGGGACAGAGGCGGAGCTGGTGGAGGGGGACGAGATTGCCCATTGAAAGTGCGAAATTTGGGGTCGCGAAGTGATTTTGTTTGGTAAGAAGCAAGAAGCGTCGTATTAGCATTTTCCCCGTGGAGTTCCTTTATTGAGTGTCGGTTGAAGGTTGAATAGTTTTTTCTGTGTGATTGGCTCGATTGTGTGGCGTGTCGGGAGGGGGGGCCGGGGAGGGTCGCGGGGACAAGAGTTGTCAGCTTTGAGCATCTACAGAGTTTATGACTTGTTAGTGTTTAGTTGGGCCTTTGAAAGATCGTGAATGAGTTACGAGTTTTTGAAACGCGATTTCTTGCGCGTTTCTGTTTGTTATTGATGTTGAGATTCGATTTACTCATAATGTACTTATGTAAGGAGATGTTGTTGGTGAACAATAATACGTACTTGTGACAGCGTATATATAATACACTAATATGGAGTCGACAATCCTTTTCAGTAAATGACTTTGTGGTGCTTCCAGTATCTCACTTAAGTATGAAATAATGAATAGCATTAAATCGTGAGCAGAGTAGTAACAAAGCGTTATTGTAATTTGACAACAAATCAATTTGTGCCAGAAGCCACCGAAACAAAACGAGCCTGAGCTAATTGAACCAAAACTCAATTATACCGGCTAACGAACTAAACTCTGATTAATCGCTAATCAATACACGGCCAATCAGTCTGTTTGTCTGTGACCTCCTCCCGCACACCCCACACCACCGTGACCCCCCGCCGCCGGACATCTGCCTGTTAACACACAACTCGACCAAATCGGTTAACCCGTAACCAAACAATAACAGCTTTCCCAACTGACCGCTCTCTTAAACTTTAATAACTTTAGTTCCAATACCTTTCGTACCAAAATGTACCTTAAATCATTCGTTGATCAGGATTCACTTTCCCGTGCTGAAAACCTCACTTACTCTGTTTCAAAATAGAAATGCATTCCATCAATATATTGCTATCTCTTTTACGCTCACGGCGTCTCATCTCAGGTGTATTCTGTGTTGCTATGGGCGGGGCGGTGACGTCATGCTCGGTGGCCAATCACCACGCGCGGTTTTTTTTCTTTTGGCGCTGTTTTGCCGCGCTGTGGCGGCCAGTGATTGTGCCGAGTGGAATAACGAGCTGTTGGCTTCTTCGCGTCAGTCGAATTCTATTTATATTTTTGTACCTGTTTATTAACTAATGTTTTGGAAACATATAGATTTGGTAATACGTTAAAATTAAAAAGCGGTTAATTAGTTAAATATTATTTTTTTTGTTCAACAACAATAATGTCTAAGTCATTCGTTCGTTTGGAGGTTCGATTAACGGCGGTGTAGCCATAAAAGACAAACATTTCACAATTGTTAACTGACAACACAATAATATTTATTTTTGAACGAGTATACATTATCTAAAGCTAAAATACCGAATTCTAATTCGGATCCTAGACATGTCTCGCCGGAGCTTCATACAGTGCTTCACGTCATTGTTTATTTGCAATTGCCTATGTACATATTATATCAGTACCTATAGGTAGCTACTAAATTATAAGTAGGTAGATGTCTGAACTTAATTCTTACCGGTTTCCGAGATTTTAGGGGTCGTTTCTACCCATCAATAGAAATTGTATTGTACTCAACAATTCAAGCACATAGCCTAGTTGGTACTGATAGCGTCCTCTATACGTACAAACTGTTATGTTACACATTTTGTCTATTAATAAATAAATAAATAAATAATAAATAAATGTAAAGTACCTATACTCGATCTAATTGTAGACCTACTGTAGCTGCCGACTATAGCTCAGAGAATTTTAGTTTAGTCAATAATATGTTATGCTTAGTACTTACCTAACTCTCATATAGGCTTTTTGGAACAATAAATTATTATTAAACAACTTTCATGACGACAAGTCTTTAAAAACCGTTTCAGTTTAACTTCTTCAAAAGTCACTCAATTAAGGATGACGGGTCGAATCTCTGTACATAGGTATCTACCAACGTGTACGTACCTAGACTTTAATTCTAAATTACGTACATTTGTGGATATTTAGTGCCAATGCCTGTGGCTAGTGATAGAGGAAAACATCCTGGTGGAACCTGCATTTCGAAAATAGTTTACAACCCTTGGATAACGTGAGGTCCCCGACCCGCGTTAGGCCAGCGTGGCACTATATTTTCCTCGGCGAAGACTTGTGCTCAGCAGTGGGACGTACAATTCCAAAATATCTTCTATTTCACTGCATAAGCTAAAAAGTTAGTAACAAAAGTAAAAATTTAACAATATTTGAAAATGTCGCATTTAGGTATAACATAATTGAACGTGTCAAGGTCTGGCAGCTCAGTCCAGAGAGAGGGCAACTGAGCGCGGGCTTCTAATTTCCTTCATTGGTGTATTCTTATTACTTAGGTCATACATAGGTACCTATTATTTATTTAAAAAAACGTTAAATAAGAATAAAATAAAACCATGAACACTAAAAGACAAACTGAACGCTATCTCGGACGCCAATCGACGCCGCGCCCGCGCCGCGCGGTTTGCATATTTCATGAGTCCGGGGAACCTTTATACAAATTGAAAACACGCTACTCGCTCCTATCACGAAGGAATTACATGTTATTGTCAACACGTTTTTAATTGCACTTCCATTGTACCTATATCGTTTCGTTTACAATACATGTACTTGCTATTATTCACAATAATGTCTATAAAATTCTAAGAAGTAATACGAGATAGAGTTAATAAAATAACACCTCTCTCTGACAGCGCGGAACTGTTGTACCTGCGTGCCTGTACGGGTATTGCATTTTGTTCTATATTTTTTATATGCAATTAACCATTAGGTATTTTACAATATTAGGGCATTTATAAGAAAATTTTTGTAATGATTAAAAGTATAGCTTTTGCTTTGATTGCTCGTCTTTTATTTTTAGTCATTCACAAATTTCAGAGGGAGGTACTATCCACTCATACTGTATCAGTGACTCGGATGGATAAATTACGAAACAGTGTGATGAGAGAGCGTTGCGGCGTGGAAGAAGATATAGTGACAAAGATAGAGAAAGGGATGCTTAGATGGTTCGGAAATGTAGAGAGAATGTATCAAAGAAGATTGTCGAAACAGATTTGTAAGGCGAGTGTGAGCGGGCAAGTTGGTACGGGCCGACCAAGGCGAACTTACCATGATCAAATTGAGGCCATCCTAAAGAAGGGCCAGATCAAGAGTACCCTTAACCGACGAGCGTGTTTGAAAGCATTGATGCGTGTTGATGAGGCGAAAGAAGTGTGTCAGGATCGTAGTGGAAGTATCAAGTGGAAGACTGTTGTCTCTGTCTACCTCGAGGAGTACTATCCACTCTACATCCATAATTTCCTTGAATTTTAGGTAAAGATCTTTGGTAATAAGCGAAAAGTAAAATTAATACAGGTATAATTCTTTCGATGCGATGATTAGTGGCGGTTGAGCTCCTTTTGAAGTAGTTCGTCCAGGAAAGTACTGCCACCTTAGTTATTTCTACCGCCAATCAGTAATGTGAGTAGTTCCTACTGCGTTCCGGTTCAGAAGAGTAAGGGTGCTGGTGAAATTACAGGCACATAGGACTTGTCAACTTATGTCTCAGGGTGACGGGCACAGTGACAGTGCTCCTAAGATCTTTGCGATTAAAAACTCCAAATGGCACTGCAACTGTTGTGGACAGGCGTGTCGCCTACCATCAGGCGCACGACTTGTTCATTCTATCACTTTGTATTATTAAAAAAACCTTTAGGCCTAAGTATTTGGTAATAAAAATAATTGTAATTGTACAAATGAGTACATACCAGGAAAGTCAAACGTAATAGGAATAGGAAAAGCAGTTGCATAGAGTCTCCTCCTTTCTTTGTGTAGTAATAAGGTAAACATAACCATGGATGGTAATGAGAGCCTTAAAGGATGACATAACTGCGCAATAATGTTGCAATAACGAGTCGTTATACAATAACGGCTTTAATGGCGAATCCAAGGCTTAATTAACCAAGTTTGCCAAACAGATTGATTTACATAGGGTTGCCGACTCTTTTTCAGAACAGATTGACAAGTGAAATTAAAGTGGATACTTTATTTTTCTCGCCAATCGTCTTAAAGTGGAGGCATCCACGATTGACACTGGCTACCGCCTGGTAGACGGTGAACCGCCTGATTATTTGACGGTTCATTTTCCCCTATAAAAGCTCTGTATGGGGTAAACACGTGTGTGGAAATATGCATTCCACGGTTAACGTTTAATTATAGAACATTCAATAGTAACAAAGTTTTTACTTACCTACTTAGTTCGGTGGCACAGTGACCCAAATTCGAGCCACTAACACCGAGGTCCTTGAAATCTTTCTGGGCTTCATCGTTCCAGCGGTACCTGAGATGTCCGACCGGTCGGCGTTTACTCGGTTGTCCCAAATAAACGCTCTTAGCAGCACGATCCTCCCCCTTTCTCTCCACGTGTCCGAGCTTGCGGAGCGTCACGGCTTTAGTTTCTCTCACAATATTCGGCCCGGATATCAGATCTTCAATTTCAAGGTTCTTCTAGCGTTCGGCGTCTAGCTCCCATCCGACCTTTAGGCAGTCTCAGAATTTTCTTTTCGGCACTAACTAAACTAAATCTTCCTCTTTCAGTGTCCAAGCTTCGCAACTATACATCAAGATCGGTCTAATTACAGTTTTGTAGACACGGATCTTTTTTCTGCGTATGAGCTTGGACCCCAGAACCTTGTGGAGAACAGCAGAGCATTTGACGGCGTTCTGAATCCGGATGTTAATTTTCTCTTCTCTGATAATAATAAAGTAACTAATAACAAAGTTAGATACACTATTAATATCGTATGTTTTGATGTTATTTCATTAATAAAATTAAATTTG